GCGCTGAAGCTCTTTGTGCGTGCCCTCGCGGTTTCTTCGGCAGCCCATATTAATATCCTCTCTATCTCTTATCCAGGGGTTACTCACACTCGATCGCAGAGAGCGATTCACTTAGACGACGCCTTTCAGCATCCTTGGTGCATCCGGTCCGCGTTTATCCGATTATTTTGCGCGGTGCGTTATCCAGACCGAGTCAACTAGCCAAGCAAGGCTCCGCCTCCCTGACACAGGCACTGACATAGTCCCTGCGAACCGCCGGGGATCTTGATTTAGTAGCGCCCAACCTAAATGAACGGTCTGTCCCGCATCTCCCTTCCATCTTGTCCTCACACCACCCCTGCACCTAGAACCAGCAACAGCGGCGACGAAGATGAGCCAATGCTCTCCGTCGCGCACAACACACAGTTCACCCAGACGCTCATGCTCTTCGTGCGTTGCCCCGTTTGTCCTCGCCCGTCTTCTTCACTAACTGCTCTTTATTACGCAGTCCCAAACGCAATCGGGGACGCGCCACACGCCGTGCCTCACCCGGTTCTACGCGGGCCCCCCGCCTGAGCATCTCCTTCCCCTCGTGCGCGAGGGTCTCACAGCGCTGGGCGTGACCTGCCGCGACGCCCCACCCGCCGCGGGCGCCCTGGCACTGCGGCTGCGCGCATCGGCGGGCAGGACGCCCGCAGGGAGGTCTTCCGCGGATGGGTCGAGCTCGAGCGCTTCGAGTACCACGGCGCCCAGGGCACCTTCTGCGTTATGCAGAAGGACAACGTGCGTCTTCCGTCCCACTCCCAGTTGCACTATGATTTATTTGTTTTACGAGGGCAGGGCAATCCCATCTCATGGCGCCAGTTGTGGCGCGCCCTGATCCAGTCGCCGCTTGTGGAGCCTCATGTGTTGCGCAGGCGGGCCGCGGGGGAGCGCGCGTAACTTCTTTCTTCTCTTTCTGCGTTCTGTCATATGCTCCATTTATCATCTATATTTCTGAACATTTAGAATGGAGGGCCGCGGAATGAATCGCATTTCTCCGCGGTTACTTCCTTTGCTTGCGGACTGACTTTGCCAACCCCACATCCTGTCCTAGACAATTGTCTTCGCCAGATATCGGCTACACACTTGTGGAATCCCCGAGGGAACAGTCTCTGCGTTTCGGCCCCGCCTAAACTTACCCTTATGCTAGGTCATAGTCGCCGATCCTAGCGTTGTTCACACGTGTCTGTCGGCCCTCCAGTCATTGACAGCGCTCCTTGGTTTCCAATCGAACGACAAATGAGCCGCCGCCGCACAAACGTATCAGGGCTAGTGTGAAGGAGCTTCAATTGCACCTGTTCTGTTCAGTGAATTGCGGGGCGTGCGGAATGGAGTACACCGAGCGCCCAAGGACAGGATTGTGGTTGCATAGGGTCGAATACTTCATTCTGGGCGGATCTGCGCTGACCCAGGCCAAATCCGTTGATCTATGGTACGGCATGGCCATCGGATCCTAGCTGCTCGACCACGGCGCACATCCTCGGTTCGTATATGGGCGCCCGTCATCTCTAGTACCTCTACCCCGAGTAACTCAAGCGTGCGTCGGCTAAATAGGTTGTGAAGGCTTGCTGATCGCACAGATCGCAGGCGAGATATTCGGAGGAATTACATCGGGAGTTGAATGGCTCCGTGCTTGCAGGTTACTCGTATGTGGGCGCCCGTCATCTCTGGTACCTCTACTCCGAATAACTCAAGGCGTGCATCCCAGGCTCCGTCTCCAATTTAATTCCTTGTCTCGTGGTGCTCTTCGGCGCAGCGATGCCCCATCGGTCGTCTGTGACTGGAGTATAAAGTCCCTAGCAAGGAGCTCACCTCTGCAGCACCACAAGGTCTTCTCCTCGTTGCACTCTCGAATATGAAGTTCGGCCTCTCCCTTCTCGCCCTCTGCAGCGCCGCCTCTGCCCTCACAGTCGCGGTCCCGCGGAACTTCCCCCCCACCAACATCGCCAAGGTCATCGACGCGTCGACCCTGATCGGCTGGAACGCGACGGTCACTGTACGCACCCATCCTCATATACTTCGCGCACAGAGATTGACTCGGATTTGCAGGAGACAGAGAAGCGCGCACTGGGCACTGTGTACGCGTCGGGCATTGTAGCTTCTGATGATGGCTAATTGTTCTGCAGCTTCCTGTGCAATGCGGCGTTCTTCTCAGGGTACTGCGTCGCCATCACCGGCGAGTTCGACGGCGGCTGCATCGACCTCGCCGCCGACCTCGACAACCAGGTCTCGTCCTTCGGTCCCGGTGTGTATTTTCTCTCTCTTCCCCTACCATCAGTAGTACTAAAGTATCGCCCGCGCAGACCAAGGCCAGCGCTGCCAGCTGTTCAAGTGAGTATTCCGCGCTATCTTCCAATGTACAGAAGGAGACCTAACCTCCCTTGCAGCGCCCACGGCTGCGCGACCTCCGGCGCAGGCACCCCCGCGTGGTCCGGCCCCATCGCCTTCCCGGGCATCCAGGACTTCAGCGTGTCCTGGGTCGACGCGGACGGCAAGGTCAACGCGCCGTTCAACGACATCATCTCGTCGTATAGGTCCGTTCAATCGCGCTACTCGAATCCGTGCGCGATTTTGATTGGCGTGTTTCACAGGTGCACTTGGTGAAGGAATTGGTTGATCGCGGGATTCAAATCGGCACATGGATATGGTTCGCGGGTATATTGGTTGAGGCTTTGTTCGTCCTTCTAGTGTTGTGATTGAAATTGTTATTTGGTCTGCGGGAATTAGCCACACGGATATCGTGGTTCAATGTCTGCTGTTAGTATGGCGGACTCGCGCTGAAGTGGAGCCGACTGGTATTAACCCACGCCGGATGAGAGACCACAGGAATACCGAAATTCACGGATGCATATTGCATAGATGGACAAGAATAATAATGGATTCGGCACGCTGCTTGCTACTTATGCGCCGATGCGTTGATTTACTGCATCAAAATGCAGGCGAGCCGCTGCTGTGAGTATGAACCGCTCCATACGCCCGCTAGCAATCGCCCTGCTATATGTCGGGCAGGTGCCCGGGGGCAAAAGCGGCGGAACGCGTGACAGCAAATCGAAAGGGAGTTGCGAGGGGGCCTCGTAAAAAATTTATGAGTGAAGGGCGAATGAAACTGGGGAAGGAAGGTTGAGGGAGACCCGAGAGCGTCACCCGAGGGGCGTCGGGAACTGCAGGAAGGCTATGCGGGAGTGAGGCGGATGTGATCCTAGCTGCCGCTGCGCGCCGTTGGCTAGAGGGACCAGCTAATTGGCGGCGCCGGGGTGACGGAGTGAGGTCGGGTCGGATTCAGAAGAGTCGGCTTCGGACATAACGCATTCAGCGCGGTGGCAGGTGCGGCGGGTTCGGGCTGAGGAGGAGCGGCGGGGTCGACGACCACTGGCGCAGCAATTGAGCGCAGGTCTGCGAGGGCCACTACGCGCCGGTCGAGGCCTGCGGCAGTTACGATAGGGAGAGACGGTGAGACGGCGGACGAAATGAAGTTGTAGCGAGAATCTGCAGAGACGCCGTCTCCGTGGAGTGCACAAGGTGTGAGTAGCGCGCCGAGAACGCTGCCGCTGCAGAGCGTCTTAGACGACGAGGATATAAAAAACAGAAGTAAAACAGAAGCGTATCTGCCGGACATTGGATCCGTCACTCGATACATCGAGCCAGCGAATTTTCTCAGCTTCCATGAACTGGACACACCAAATTTACCACCGCATCCCGCCTCTCTCACCCACAGGCCTCGACATGGATGTCGAGCAAGAGCAACGGCTCCGGGGTAAAGTACATCCTCTCCAGCGGATCATCTCCTTGCTCGCGCGTGCAGCCGGCGTACGCCAGACTTGTGACTCGTGCACGCGCGCATTGGAGTGTACGCACGCCGCAGCCAGTCGATTTGGTCTGAGTACTTAGGTCTTCGTGGGGTAGTCACGGGCGCAACTTTGGAGGGCTCCAAGGGCAGGAAATAGGGCGTTGGCAAGGGGAAGTCAAAGCGGTCAGAGAGGGCCGATTGTTGATTCGATTCTGAACTCGATTCTTGTCAGAATCGACGAGCAGAATCGGATGAAAATCCACCCAACTCTGACCGACCCGATCCGGCACTCGATTCTGCAGTGGGTTCTGGCGTCGATTCACGACCATCAGAATCGATTCACGACCATCAGAATCGATTCACGACCATCAGAATCGATTCACGACCATCAGAATCGATTCACGACCATCAGAATCGATGTGACAAGCATCGATGCGAGAATCGACGATTCTGATGCTGTTCCCCTCTGGAGGAGGAACGTCGATTCTGCTTCAGCGTCGATTCTGGACGGATTCTCGACCAAGAATCGATCCGAGAATCGAGTTGAGAATCGAGCAAGAATCTGCCTGTCCTGACCGCTTTGACTTCCCCTATTGCAGTCGCGTCAGTGAGGAACTCAAAGCGAGTGTGAAGTTCGTCGATAGAGTCAGATTCAGAGCCACAGCAAACTCAGGAGGGCGAATTTCCGGTTGGAGGCGGGGGTCACATCTGAAGAGCGGCAGCTGGGATTACTGCACGTGTGTAATAAGGAGAGCACGGAATGTTGTTGTGGAGGATTTGGTGCTTGTCTCTTCGGCGTATGCCGGCAGCCTGGTTCACCGCTGCCAGTTGGTTGCGAGCGTCAACTGCTCAACGTGATCTTCGTCTTAGCAGCCGGGGCCTTGTACCATTTCCATCCTGACAACTGAGTTCATAGAAGAGTTCAAGTTCAGCACACAAATATTGAATAACTATACGTAGCTCTGATCAACCTCTGATGGCTGAACTCGAAACTTGTACCTCAGGCTTCGAGTTCTGATTCTTCCTCGTCCACAATTATGATCTCGAGCTGAATATCGTGAGTTTGTCTCGTCTGATTCCTGCGCCCAGCTCATGGAGAATCAAGGGGAAAAAGACGCAGCGGCTTGGGGTTGGTGTGTGCAGGGTAAAAGGAGCTAAATTGTCCAACAAAAACTTTCAGTTTGGACTGGTATGCATGTGGAGGGAATCGAACCCCCGGCGGGTCGAAAGTGACTTACGACACTATCGATGGCAACGACCCAGGTTACCACTACCCCACACATGCGACAATTGTAGTGGCTATCTTCCCTCCGGGAGCTACTGAGAACGAACCAGAAATAAAACCCGTCCATCCATTGCGCGAAATCTTCAAGCTGGTCTCTGAAAGTTGCTGCCATAATAGCTTCCTTGAGAGATCGATGGCAGAACTAAATCACATCAAAAAAAGGGCAAAATCCATCATGATGTACGGCTGAGAAAATGGGAATGGACCAGGCTGAGCCGATACAATCTGGGTGGAAATCAAATGGAAATATGGGAGAGCGAAGGCAGCAAGCGTGAAACTCTTTGCCGGTACGGAATGGGCTTCAATATGGATTGTGATTTGCAATAGGGATGAAAGTTTCCCCAGAGAATTCTCATCACTTCACCTTGGAGCCTCGAAAACGAACCTTGCTCAGGGCGCATCAGTGATGGAGGCCCACACAATAAGATAAGACGGTAGATAAGATCGATCTGCTGCTGTTCACGGAAATCAGAGGGTACAGTGTTCCACCGGTCAATGGTACGGTAAAATGATGGAGCTGATTTCAATTTCTTTGTGATACTTTTCGAAAATCTGATTGGGCCAAACACAATATATATCCTACACCTTGGCCCTTCCAAATTCTTGCGTCAACTTGAATTGGGCAAGCATTGAATGGACAAGAAGCAAATTTGACGGTACCATTGACCGGTGGACCAAAAACACTGCCAAATCCGGAGTTGATCTCAGGCTATTTCTCTCTTCCATGCCAAGGTATGGCCTCCGGGTCTTGGGGTTTGGGGTTTTATGTATAAACCTTGAATATGAACTATGTTTGAGCTACATGGGACAAAAGGAGGGGAAAAACTGGGTGTACCAGTGACCCGTGTACCATGACCGGTGGAACACTATATACTTTTAGAATGCATCACACAAGTAAATGGCCATCCATTCCCTCCCAATACAACTATCTGTTGAAGGAATAGCCTGAAGCAGCGGGTCTACGCCCGAACCTTCCAGTAGTTACTTTTCCCCTTTTGGACATTCACCGTAGATAGTAGTAGAATATTCTAGATAACCTTGTAGGTAAGCTGAACATAGCATTCATTTGCTCTAAAGCAAGTCTTTCTTACCATTCAGTGCTATTGCAAACTTAATACTTCTTACCGCTTAATCACACTCATCTTCCCACGTCGATTTCTAACACTATCCACAGGGGAATCGGCATCCTACACTACATCGCACGGCCAGTCTGCGTGTCAGACATCCGGCAGACATATGGGCTAGGTTTCTCGTCGGCGATATCAAGCCCTTTACGTTGAGTGTGAGTCGACTTGCGTAGCTGAGCAAGCAGTGCCAGTGGTGTCAGACTGATGGCGCCAACTGCTGTTGACTCTCCCCGCATACAAGTCAAGCAAGAGCGGGAAAGACTCGAAATGTGAGTGGAGGTTGGGAACATCACACCCCAGGTTTCGTGTAGAGCAGAGTGAATTCATACGACACTATGAGAAATCTCTTGAGCCCACATTTATTTTCTAGGTGGTGGAGAATCTTCGTCTACCCGTGATTGAAAAGGGTTTTTCAGAGCTGGCGACTACATTTTCGCCCGGGAAAACGGCCACCGTCTCTGATGACATTCCGAGCAACTTCCCTCGGTCGCTGACAAATTCGTCGAATACGTCGGCCCGCTTCGTAATCGTGGATGACACGATTCTGCAGAAGGCGGGCAGAGTAAGGAGCAGTGAGGAGGGAATGGGCTGTAAAGTCAAGGAGTAGTGTACTGGAGAATATAATCTTGCTTACGGAGGGGCTTTACAAAAGCACCGTTAGCAACGAGGAAAGTTGAATTTGTGAATCAGCACAGCAGGATTTGGGAACGCTGAGTGCCTGCATATAAAGGAGCCAACCGTCTATGAATGAATACCATCGCCACTCACCCCAACCAACTAACAACAACCTTCAGCCGCAATGACAATTTTGAAGCTCTACGGCGTGCAGCACGCAACCTGCACACCACGGTATGGGGGAGTGATCAATCACGCACCGCTGATCAGCGATGTGTTGCGATGCAAAAACACCGCTAGTTAGCGATCCGTTTTCATGCATCACCCCAGCATTGAGCTATGGTCCAAGCCTTTATTTATGTGTGTCGCTGTGCCTCGGCTGGGCGTTCGCGTCGCTGCCAAGGAAGCCGCTAAGGGATGCTTCTGATTGATGCAAGCATCCGCATTAAGCCAGCGACGCTGAGCGTATGCTCGTCGTCGCCAGTAACGATGAGAAGAACTGAATTATATAAATGGGACTAAAATCATACAAAAATTACAGTGTTACCGGGAGCCGATTACGAGCCCCGACAGGGCATGCCAGAGTCCGTAAACGGCCCCCATAGGTCAGCCGACGATTATCTTTCGCGGCTCCACTCATTCCGTCCGGCACCTTCCTCAACGGCCGCTACTGCGCCTGCGAGGGCAGGGTGCTGCGTTCCGTTGATGCGCACGGCGGATCTACAAGAATGGTCTGCGGCATGACCGCGACCACGCGATGAGGCTGGTGTTGTGGGACCCCGGCAGCGCGGGCCAGGAACGGACGGCCTCCGGGCAATTGAAGCGGGCATGTCGTGGCATTGGCGCCGTGAGGTATGCGTGCTGACCCGGGGTGGCAGCGTCCTCGCCCTGCGGAAGCCCAGCAGGTAGTCGGATGTGCATGGGCGCGGGCAGGCCCACGGAGTGTCCCCGCTGCAGGATATCACGCTGCTCACGTCCCGCGTGCGCCGTTCAGGACAGGTAGGGAATGGCTAGCGCGCTGTAAGTGCCACGCTCTCCATCGGCATTCACACCGTAGCAGCGCCAGCAGCAGAGCAGCGTTCAGAACCGGTCAGGAGAGGGGATGGGCGGGCGGAGCGCCAGGTGGGGGGAGGAACGGGGAGCTCACCAGCAAGCAGTACTCCGCACCATCGGTAAGGAACGGACGGAGCTTGCAAGGGACTGGAGAAACCGATGATCTTCCGGCGAGTTGAAGCCCGAAATTACGTGCAAACGACAGGCTTGGAGAACGTGGATCCAGCGTAAGACCTGAGGAGCTGTGTATGCATAGCAGACGTACCAGTTACTGCTAAATTCCCCCAGCGCATTCGTCCTCAGCTCTGTCTCTGATTGAGTATTATGCTGCTATTTGCCAGCATGCACGGATGAAAATCTTGGTTTGTGGTGGGTAAAAAGCTCCTGCAGGCGCATGAGAGACCCCGCGAGCTCCGGGAGTCTGTTCAGGTTCGTGAAAAGAGTGCGAGAGAAGCTGGAGGAGAATGTACTATCGTGTCGGTATCTTGGAATCCGGCCAATAAAACTCGATGAGAAGCGACCATAGAGTTGATTTAATGACTTAGATCATGATTTCCGACTCTGATTGTTGACGAGGAGCCATGGACGGTGTTTTTGAGGGAAGTCGCTTGGTGGGAAGCGTCCGAAAGAGAGAGTGTCACGGATGTGACCGGCGTTACTCGCGACCATTTTGACATCAGGCACGACGACGTTGGGCTCCTGTAGTTCCTCAGAGCACTTTCAACGAGAAATAAAGGGGTAGAGTATCACCAATTTGCGAACCGGGCTGATTGGTATCCCTCTGTAGTGAAAATCTGCAATCTGAAAAATCAGGCACGCAAAAGACAGCTACGATAGGAGCCAAGGAGTCTGTATATTTGAGTTCTAGTATTACAGAACACGTCTGGGAGCCGAACCTTCTTAGTAAATATGCAGGTTTCGCCAATAAAAGGTGTAGAAATTGATTTTGCATCAAAGGTGTGGGTTCACAAGCATAAATCCAATACAGCATTTGCGTGGTGTTCGACTTTGGTCCTCGTTCAGTGTTCCACTCAAGTTTTTTCAGGCCCCAGACTAAAAAAGATCTAGAAAGGCTACTGCTGTATATTTAACTCGTCCCTGTTGCTCAGAAAGCTCCACAGTGCCCCAACTATCGGGTTTCAACTACGGGTGGAAACTGCAATTATGGGGCTTATGTCGACCACAGCGGCTTCGGGGCCGTAAAAAGTGGATTGAGGGGGAATAATACACTTTTAATATATGGGAAAAATATCGATGGAGGCTCTTTTTTGCCTGCGGCAAGTATACATTATGTTTATGGACAGAGGGGGACACCGGGGAATAAACACATGTGACGTTCATCGCAGGTTCCCTTTTCATGTAAATATATCAACCATTTATGTGTGAACTGGGAATATCATAAATTCCGCTCGCCAGAGGAATATGCAGAGGTACAGAGAGCGAGGAATCCCCGGATTCGGAGAAAGTGGCGCGCGATGAAACCCCCTGCATCAACATATGTACAGCCTACACCGGTAGGTGTCGATTGAAATGAAGCGCGCATATAGCGCTGCAGGGGTCAAGGCGGGCAGCGCGCGAGCGGGCGCGCGGGCGGGGCGCGCGGCGGGGCGGGCACGTGACCGGCGCGACGCGGCGGTTGTCTAACGGGAGCGGTAGCTGCGAGGGGTTTTTACAACAATAAGAGTCAGCAAATACATGTTCCGCGTAAGCCGAACCGGCGAGCGGAAGGACGCCCGGAATAGGAGCGGGGCGGGAGGGCGGAGGCAAGAGAGTGTAAATGTAACAAATATAAATAAAGTTCCCGATTGAGCAAGCGAGCAGCGCGCTCCAGCGCGAGCGCGCCCCGCATAAGCAATGACCAGCAGCAGGGAGCGCGATGATGCGAATGATCCTCATCATTTGATGGACGGGCGCCGGTCCAGCACGCACGCGGAAGGGTGGAGAGCGGTGCTCAAATGTGCAGTGATTCATCACGTTGGATCGCTAATCAGCGGTGTTGATGCATCGCGACGCATCGCTCACCACCGACGTGGTGATTGATCAAATCCCCAGATACGCCTGACCTGCACGCGGCGCGTGGCGACGGTCCTGCACGAGCATAAGGTCCCCTTTGAGCTCATCGAAATCGATCTAATGAAGGGCGAGCATAAGACCCCGAGTTCCTCGCGAAGCAGCCCTTCGGGCAGATTCCCTACATCGTGCGCCGTTCAGCCCCGTCGCCACGGAATATTTTACTCACACGGCGGCTAGGACGATGACGGGTTCATTCTGTACGAGACGCGCGCGATCTGCTGGTACATCGCGGCCAAGTACCCCGCGGCGAGTCTGATCCCGACCGAGCCTAAGGCGCACGCGGTGTTCGAGCAGGCCGTGGCCATAGAGATCACGAACTTCGACCCCAGCGCGAACCAGATCGTGTCCGAGATCGTTATGAGGCCGTGAGTCCTTCCCAATCCCTCCAGTAAGTGTGCTGACCCCGGGGCAGGATGTTCTTCGGCGCGAAGCCCGACGCGGCGGTGGTGGCGGCGCAGCTCGCGATCCTCGACAAGAAGCTCGAGGCCTACGAGGTGATTCTGGGCAAGCACCGCTATCTTGCGGGGGATGTACGTCGTCGTTCTGCTCTATACAGTACTAGGGAATAAGCCGCTGACGACACGCTGGCAGAAGCTCACGCTCGCGGACCTCTTCCACCTCCCCTACGCTCCCCTGCTCGCCACTGGCGGAATCGACATCATGACGCAGAAGCCCAACGTCGCGAGGTAAGCCTCTTTTAGAACAGGGTAGTTGGGATCGAATACTGATCTGCTTTACGCGGTGCCAGGTGGTACAAAGAGCTCATCGCGCGCCCCTCGTGGTTGGCGTACCTGGAGGGTGTCAAGACCACTACCGCGTACTAGCTCGCTCTTGCACCCATAGAAATAGCTTGCCAAAGCCAGTAGAAAACAAGGGATCAGTGGTATTGCATACGCGGTGAACTTTTGGCATGCCTCGATGATTCCGTCCCGCCCCGAAATCTCCCGTCCAAATTCCAGGAATTCCGCATCCTAAACATTCATCTCCCAGATGGATCCGGCGAATACATACCATGGGCCCTTCCGTGGCAAATGTGTCGACTCGCGCAATATGGGTTTGGCTCGGATAGGAGTTGAAAAGAATACATTAATAAGACGACTCCTGTTTATTATCCAAAGGTGTAGTCCGAAAAGCAGAAACCAAGGACGTACCCAGCGGAGTTCTACATCCCTCTCTCACCCGCTTTAAATATCTACGCTGCTAACCGGATCTACTATATGGAACCGCAACCCCTTGAGCTCCGTGTCTCTATTGCCACCCTCGGCAGTCGCATCGCCCGTCACGGTACTCCCCGTTTGTTGAGATTGAAGCCGCGTGCTCACCAGGCGGTCGTGGGAGCGTTGAACCCACTCAAGCCCCACGCGCACGTAGATGAGCATGTTCACCGCGCCCACCACGCCCGCAGAGCTCTCGAACACCCAGAAGTTCACGGAGGACTGAGCTTGGTAGCTCACGACGTTGATGATGACCCATGCGCTGCGCCGTGTTGCGTTGGAAATTCGATTCCGATGTGAATGGGAAAGGAGACGTACGTGTAGATCGCAGCGCTCTCGACGATGTTCGCGAGGAGGCCCTGGGTGGTGCATCTCCGGGATTAATTGAGGCTTATCAAGGGTTCGGTGGACGCACCATCAGGGTGCCACGCGGACCGCCAACAGAGTTCATCCGCTGCTGGTTGTTCCAGATGCGGAATCCGAAGAAGGCTGCCCTCCGCATTAGTATACAGCGTGAACGGGGAGGGAGGGGTGGCCCACCGGTACAATATACGGTTGTGCTTTTATCATCAACCTGTCTGAGCACGCTGTATGCAGATGAAAACTGAGCAGAGGACGCACCAGAGCGTGAATACAAGTTCGCTGGTGAACCATCCGTGCACGATGGGGAATATTTCGGTCGGCTCGAGGTAGTGCAGGGAGCTAACGACGTTCTTGCCGATACCGCTCGCTGCCAGGTGCCTTTCAGTGATTGTGAGGGGGAAGTAGGGGAGACGCACCGGTGAGGCCTAGCCATGTGCACGCAGGGAAGACGACGACTAGCCTGTTGTGCTTCCAGACAGTCCAGAGGCGCTGGATCTAGGGTGTAGCATGTCAGTCGACGCAGAGGACAGAGACACAACGTGCTCACAATGAGGAGATCCCCAATGCTCCATGAGAGGAAGAGGAATAGATTGCGGACGAGCGCCACCGGGGGCAGCGGATCTTGGTAGAAGGCGAGCGCGGGAGGGACTGCGGTCTGGCGGAACGCGCTGTAGACTCCCACGATAGTCAACACCCAGTGCTGCGCAGAATCAACGGGAATATCCTTTGCACTAGGGGGAATGCGTACGGCGGTAATGGTGAGAAACAGTGCGACGATTCCCAAGAGGACGGGGGAGCGAAGAGCGCCGCCGCGCGCAGAGGCGTCATACTGGTGCGCTAGGGCATGCAGGTACAGTGCAATGACAGCTAGTGCAAGATATATTCCGAAGGAGAGGGTGGAGACAATAGCTACACTTAAGAGTGTCTCGACGCCTGGCAAAAATTGTCGTCAAGTCGTGAAACACTGGTAGACTCTTACGCACCTGCAGGCCCGCCCAGCTCCGCGTAGCCCCGCACACTGAGCCTTGGTGCCGAACGAATTTGTGGTTTGCGCGTCATCCGCTGCGGGACCCCATGCAGCGTCGCCAGCTTGTCAAGCACCTACGTTGGAGGACTTGGGAAGGAAGCAAGAAGGAAGTGATCGGCGATCCACCCCGGTGGTTACTAACATTCCCGATGTGCTACCCGAAACTAACCTGATATAGAAATCGCTAAGATTAGATATATCATATAAGGAAATCTCAAGTTTCGATCGGCCGTGCCGAATGTTTGCAATCCCCGGTTTCATCCATCTGATGTGTGTGAATGTGAAGATGTTTAGATGGCGCGTTAACTGGTCGGCTTGGGTCGGCCGTTTGACTCGGAGATGTTTGCCATACATACAAAATTGATATCTATATTGACGCCGATGAGACTTAGAATGTAAACTTCCACGAAGGAGCAGTCGTGAGAGTTCACCAACAACTTCCTCATCGCCCGGTAGATCTCGCTCGTACGACGCTCACATGTCGGAGAATGGGAGCACCTTTGTACTTCAAGTTGATTCACACTGGAAAATGGGACGTTTCAAAGCGTCTCAAAACGCATCCGAAATATATAATTTAAGTGAAAGAATAAGCAGTGACTAAACTGTGCCTGAAACTATTAGTTTCAGACACCATTTCAGCTGCGTTCCTGAAACAATAAGCTTAAAAATAAGCATCAGACGGCCCGAAATCGATAAAAACCGGTGAAAGAAGCGCCGAAACTGATCCGGAAACTTATTGTTTCGGGAACGCGGCTGAAATGGTGTCTGAAACTAATAGTTTCAGGCACAGTTGAGTCACTGCTTATTCTTTTACTTAGATTATATATTTCAGATACTTGTTGAGATGCTTTGAAGCATCCCATTTTCCAGTGTGATTGGAGGGAGTTGTGTCGATTTTGAGCGTCTATTATAATGGAGAACTTGAGGGTTGAGGGACGCTTGAAGCATAGAGATCGTTGGGAGAAGGCATGGGGAAAAGGTGATGGTTCAATCGCTCGTTCTTGGCAGCCGGTATGGTCTGATTTCGGAGCGATCTGCCAGGATGCCTTGTCTAATCAAAACTTAGGCTCCGAGTCGGGGGGCTGAAGTCAAATGGTTGAGAGGGCAATTTAATCGGTTCACCTGTACTTGAAATCAGCGCACTATTGATTCCACTGACCCACCCACGCGCAATGTCCTCGTGGCAATTAATGAATCGCTGTTGAGAACCACAACGAGCGCCGTCTCGCGGAGTCTGTATGTAGAACACAGCCGATGATCGGCAGTGCGGCTTTCCGGAAGGGAGTGCCGCAATCCGGTTACATCCGGCACGATGTCCGCGGAATCGGTACCTCGGCGGACTGCAATTGCTGTTTGACCAGAGGAGGCACGAGTCGTTTTGGGTGGTACGGACGGCGCACAATATTAAATTCAGTCGTTCACAGGCAGAAGAGATTTGATTGATTATGTGGTAGTTTATTACAATTCAACTCCGCCGATGGACGAAGAGATTCAGACCTCACAAGGCTCATAAGTAGGAGGGGAAGGCCCGGTGACGGATGGTCCGCAGCTGCATGAAATGGGCTGATTTTCCGCTTGCATCTGTGGGCAACGTGCGTTCGACTTGAGCTCGGGCTATGGCTTTTCAAGTTGGGAGATATTTATTTTATGTCGTGAGGGTTCAAGCTTGAAGATGGGTTGAGTTGGTATTTGAGTTGATTAATTCGACAACGGATCACTGAAAATTTCAGTTCGCATGAGAAGATTTGGGCCTGCTGGGAGTTGATTCGACTTGATTCCATTGGAAGTTCACGAAAGACTGAGGTTCGTAGGGATGAGAGGAAGGCCCAGTAGCGGATGGCCGCACCTGCACAAATTACTGGTCGGATATTGCTTCAGCGGGTGACGCTCGTTTGAATCGAGCCCGGGCCATCGGTTGGATGCCAATTTCCTTTTTTTCTCCGACCTAGAGTCAGGATGAAGGTAGGGCTCGCCGCGAAGTATCGAAGAATGGGTTGGTTTGATTTTGAGTCATTCGAGGCCATATCGGGCACTTGAAAGTCAACACCCAGAAGCTCGCACAGAAGGATGCAGACTTGAGGAAGCTTCGGAGGAACAGAGGAAGGCCCGGTGGCGAATGGTCTGCACCCGCATGAAATAGAGACTTCAGAAAGAGAGTTTCAGCGGGAGGTGCTCGTTCGACTCGAGCCCGGGCCACAGGTAGGATGCAACATGTTTTTAAGAAGGCTCGTAATTGGGAGAGCAAGTTGGTCCGCACCCGCATGAAATGGGCTAATTTTCCAGGTGCACCTGCGGGCGAGGCTCGTTCGATTCGAGCCCGGGTCATATGTATGCGACTTGTCAAACCTCTGTTTTTCTTGCCCTGGCCCGAGTCCGGATCCGCTCGTAGCAACTAGCTGAGGTCCTTGAAGGATTCGTCATAAAGATGGTTTGAATGTATGGATTCAGTCCTTGCACTGCGTGAAAATTCAACACTGCCGAAGCTCGCATAGTAGGATGGTGCTGTGCTATTGAGCCTCGAATTTATGAGGGGAAGTCCCGGTGGCGGATGTTCCGCACCTGCATAAAATATAATGTTGTCTTCTGCGGGGAACACTCGTTCGACTCGAGCCTGGGCCATGCACGGATGTGCTGTTTTCCCCGTTTTCTTTGATCCTTCTTCCTTCTTCCTTCTTCTTTGGTTTACCGTACCCATGACCTAGCCTCCGAACAGGATTCGACCATGAGATGGGTTGATTGAATTCATTCGAACTCGGGTCAGTGACATCCAACCCCGTCTTCGCACAAAAAGAATCGAGCTTGAGGATGGTCCTGGGGAAGAGAGAAAGGCCTGGTGGCGGGTGGTCCGCACCTACATGAACTGAATTGTTTTTCCACAACCATCTGCGGGCGACGCTCATTCGACTCGGAGTCTGGGCCATAAATGAATTGAAATATGTTCCTTTTATTTCGGGAGGGTTCAACTCGAGAGTTGCGTCTGGATAGGATACACTGAAGATGGGTTGAGTTGGATTTTTTGCCGTGCGGGAGGGGAAATTTAACACGGCCGAAGGCGATTCTGGCTTCACAAGGTACAAGTAGGTAGGTATGGGAGGAAGTTCCGGTGGTGGACAGTCCGCACCTGCACAGAGTAAGTTCTAAGGGCTGAGTTCTGCGGGAGACGCTCGTTCAACTCGAGCCCGGGCCCTGCGTCATCGGGGTGGCATCATTTTTATCAAGTGTTACTTGCAGGAGTAAGGCATTTTCATCTATTAGAGGTGTGGAGCTGGGGGGAAAGACAGAACAGAGTCAAGCCGATGACCTGCGCGCATCTTAAGTTCAAAGTAAGTTCAAGCTGCAGAGAAGTCCAGCCGATGTGGTTCAGCTCGGAGTAGTGATTTGCTGGCTCCGGCTTCAAGCCAGAAGCCAGGCGAGCCAAGCCGTGGCTTCATCAAGCCAGGCCAAGCCAATCCCCTGGCTTGAGCTTCTGTCTTCAGATCTCTCAAGCCAAACCAGGCCAGCCAAGCCAGGGCTTCAACCCGTGCGTGTAAACCCAATCTAGAGCGGTGTTTTGGGCTCAAAATATGTGTTAGTAGTCGATTCTTGCTCAATTATATGCATCTATTCTATCACTCATCAATTCTTTCAATTGTAAGAGTCATTTTGTCTACCATTGGAACCATCACTCCCGAACGAGAAATCCGCTTTCGGACAAGGAACTCGAAATAGGGCAATTATAGCCTGTAACAGCACAGATTTTGATACTTAAACCTCCCGATGGCTCAGACCAATGTCCCTACCGCGTCTACTAACGGAACAACGCAACAAGAACGAAAGTGAGCTTACATTTTTTTAGGTTCAAGCCATGGCTCAAGCCAGGGCCAGGTCAAGCCAAGCCAGGATAGCTGGCTCTGGCTCTGGCTTGAGATTTTCGAAGCCTAAGCCAGACGAAACCAAGCCGAAGCCATGGTTTCCAGGCCAAGCCAAGCCAGCAAATCACTAGGTCGGAGTTGGTTCAGAGTTCGTGCCGTAGCGAAAAAGAAGGAAATTCGACGGTTACTACTCTGAGGCTAGTGCGATACGGGCTTTGCCAGAGAGGAAGGCAAGGTAGGAAGCTGGGCCTAGGCCTATACTCGTGGTAAGAATAAGTGATGGACGGTGGGTTTTGAAGGCATATCTCCATAATGAGAGGTCCGTTTTGGGAAAAACTGGATATGGGGGAGATGCACTGAACTGGTAGAAGGTTTTTAGCATATTGATGAGATCAAATGGTATTGATCTCCCATCGAAATGGCGAAAACAGGAAAATGGCATTTTTCAACTCCGTGAGAAAAGATATTATGAAAAGTTTGAATCACCCAGATTGTAGTCCTTGTTAATTTGAATGATTCCACAAGTTGAACTGTCCCGAAATCTATACCTGCTCATGAGCTATGAGGCCTGCAAAATGGCTATTTTGGCTGTTTTTGGCTATTTTCATGGTTTTTGGCTGTTTTGGAGGCCTTTTAGCACCTGAATGAGCCCAGATCTCTTGACGATTCAACTTTGAAATTATTTGCATTCGCAGGGAGTATAATCTGGCTGATTTAAATTTTTCATAATATTTTTTCTCGTGGAGTTGAAAAATGTGATTTTCCTGTTTTCACCATTTTTGATGGGAGATCAATACCTTCTGATCTCATCAATATCATAAAACCTTCCACCAGCTCATTACAGCTCCCCCATATCCAGTTTTTCCCAAAATGGACCCTCCATTATAGAGATATGCCTTCAAAACCCACCGTCCATCACTTATTCTTACCACGAGTAGGCCGGCCCGTGACGTTCCAACTCGTTCCAGTAACAGTCACCCGCCATCCCGCACGTGCCACTTCCCCACTCGGCCTTGCACGCCTGCGGCCCTGCGCCGCGCAGAAGCCAGAGCATGGATGCAGCCTGCGCTTCACTGCCTTAGCCGCATACTCCATAACCACCACCGCGCATAAACGCACATTTACCAGCTCTGGAGGTGATTCTGAGGTGATTCTGGGTGATTCTCGATCACAAATCTGTCAACCCAATACAATCATTTTGTGATAAAATAGCGTGCTCTGAGTCACTCAGAATCAACTCGAGAATCATCCGCAGAATCAACTCCGAAAACGGGACGGTCGAAGCTGATTCTGATTCTGGCACGATTCTGAGGCACATCAAGTTCCAGACTCAACCTCAAAATCAATCCAGAATCAGGTCAGAATCAGCTACTCTCACTGCTCTAATATAGCTCTATCTGGTATAAGATAAATGGCTGACAGCTTGTGACCATCTGGCTCTAAGTAATGGACTGCGACAGCGCATAAATGCCTCCATTCTCGTAGCAACCTTCCCTAAACGGCACGTATCCATTCATCTGTGGGGTCGTTTCCTCTCGCCTCTTCGCCACTTCCAGTCTACATATGTTGCCGATGTCACTTCTTCCCAACACGATTATTAGCTGATTCCTGAAACAGGCACTTCGGAAGGGATCCAGAGCTTGCTGCTCATTCATTCAGAATGATTCTCGTTTTAGCTTCGCCTACTGTCCCATACTCGCGCTGACGGTAGTTATAGCCTGCCACTGACTTGTTATTGTAGTGCGAAACCATCCGCGGCTTTTCGCATGATCACACTGCCCACGCACTACGAGCTTCTGTTCTTTGTCTCCTCGTAACGTGTTCCTTGAACTGTCGGGTCTCATTCTACTCGCATGACAATCTTCTTTTGAAGATCTGATCTCAATGACTGACAGATTGCGACCATCTGGCTCAAAGTAATAGCCTAAACCTTGCCCCACCGAAACCCTGCGGCAGAAGAGTGCTGATGCGCTGCGGTACAGCGGGATCAGGGTTGCCACCCTGTTACTCCTAGTTATTTCAGAACCATTGTCTGAAAGATCTATTATCATCGTCAGCGGTAACAACGAACACCGGCAGTGCCCTACCCATCGAACATGGAAGATCATCTGGGGCCCCAATAATAGCTCTATCCGGTATAAGATAAGAGCCATCCATTTCCGATCTGTCCTCCTCTACCCAAGGTCCACACTGACCGTAGAAGTGCACCACGATCTATTCTTACTTCCATTCTCTTCAGCATGCATCGTTCCCCGAAGCGCTCCACCTGGAAGCCTGCCAAAGAGCAGCGCCTTGCCAGCTCACAGTATACAGATTCCGCATGCACTTTGCTGCATGAGTCTGTGACACGTAAATGTATGTATAGTCTCCAACCGCCTGAAAACCCCTAATACCCGCCTTGTAGCTCTTGCACCATCTCGTGCTCTTCTTTGTCTCTCCACCTGACAATCGTTCTGATACATCTCACACTCGTGGGTGTGTGGGCAAAGAACCTCGAGCATCGCCTCGTTTTTTCGCTCGAGCATCAGAGACTCACCTCTTTCCTGATAACCGCAATTGCGACGACATTTGGGACGGTATGTGTCCACATTGTCCCCAAATTATGTGGCCTTATGTGCAATTCTTTCGCTTGTACAAGCTTTACTATACCCTGCTCGTCTTCGTGACCCAGACCCTCGCCATGCGACAAAATGTGCAAATGGAGCGGACGTTGACGGCCACCCACGATAATGCCGCCGCTTGGGCTGGACTTGGCGCCGCGATGCTTCACGTATGGAATCAGAAGGCAGTACCTGCATCCGTGCTTGGTGTTCTCACCACTTGCCTGTATCTGGGTAACATACTGGTCTTGCACATCACAACTCCGGCGCTCTTTTCGGTCGAAACCTTCAACTCCTCCCACCCCATGCCTGTTTCTATACAGAGCCTGCCAGGCTGGAATTAGAACAGCAGCGACTTGGACAATACGGAAGCTTGGTGAGCTGATTGGGAACCTCGGGCCAACGGCTTTGCTGATCACGCGGACCCAAGGAATAATCTCACCACCTACGTGCATGAGGCTCTAGCTTTTCTTCCGTTCGTTGGGGGTATCCCCACACCGGGCTTGTCTAATGGGATCCTGTACGACGTGTTGGACACGAATGGACTGGGGACGGCAACAGTAGAGGCAACCGCGCTCGACATAACATGCGGATCCGTACCGGGAGCCGTCAATACAGAAGTACAGACATCGCTCAACATTACCTCCGCCTCGCATGAGATATGGCCTATTCGGTTCCAAAATGAGACATTTGACATTCTATCTACCCGTAAGAGCATTCACTTCTGCCCGGGATGTGCTTATAA